AATAGCAACAGCCCAAACCAGTATCTATTACACAGTTCATCAAAATCGATAAAATTTTATTGCCCTAGCTATACCAAATCTTGCTAGGGATTAACAAGATGTAAAAAGAATAAAATGCAGCAGTTAAGCAACCTGGAATGCCTGAAATCTTGGGACAGCATAGCACATGTCTTCTTTGTATTGGTGAGGATAACAAAAGAAACCAAAAAGTGGGCATTCAGAGGTAGAAAAAACGTAGTCATAATTTTGCCTGTATCAATTAGTCTACTGGAGTCCACTTAAATAATCTAACAAAGTACTACAGAGAAGGTTCTGCATGGGAAGCCCATGGGGAGGGGAAAAAGAAGGTAGGGGGTGGACTCATCTCCCAAGTAAATACTGTGTGAGTACTGTCTAAACAGTACAACTCAACCTCTCCTGAATAAAGTGCATATACAAAGTAAATTAATAAAATCTTGCAGGCACAGTCACTGTTATATCATTATACAGTAATTATTTGGAATATTTCCATCTATCAATAATGCCATCTGTCCCACCCAATACAAATGGACTACAACCCATCTGGCTTATTTTTTTCTATTGATTACTCTGCTGAATGAGTTAGCAAAACCTCTTATAAAATCATCATATTACATGACACTGTCATTAAAAGACATGAAGTAAATAAAAACACAAGATGAGACTTAATTGGAAAACTGTCAGTTCTTCTTCCAGAAAGTTTTAGCAATGATATAAGCTTATTTTTTTTGTTTGTTTTGGTTTTTTGGGGGGGCTACTTTAAAAAAAAATATAAAAAAAAGCTCTAAATGCTAACTACTGGATTAGGTAGAAACAGTTCCACCACACAATTGTTACTATTTCTGACTAGGTATGTTAAAGAAGCTCCCTAAATGTATCTCCTCAGGAATGTCAGAATGTTCCAAAGTGCGCCTGGAATCACAAAGAAACTGTGGACGGAGTGTACTAGAAACGGGGTGAGCGGAAGCTGCCCAAGGGCGGCACTTGTATTTGTTAATTCCAGTTATTTTTTCTAGGTTTTGGCTTTGATTATTTGTTTGCATAATAGTCTTCACGCTATTTTTGCAGCCTCTGTTTTTTTGTTTAACTACTGCTTCCCTCAACTAGATTTTATTTTCTACAATTGCAGCCGGTTTTTTTTCTTTTGATTTTCACTGCTTCCCTTAACTATATCTTAATTTCTCCAACAACCACTACTTAACAACAATGTAGCCTTCTCCATCCACAGAACCTGAATGCCAACCTCGGCTTCCTTACTCTAGATTTCAGCTCAGTTTTAACAAAGGTAATCTCTCTTGCGTGCGTTCCAAATGTTGATCCAAAGATTTTTTCATTAGTCCAGTGACTAAGGTTTTTTTTTGTTTGTTTGGGGTTTTTTTTTTTTTTTGTTGTTTTTTTTTTTGAGTGAGACCTCACTGGGCTGCTTTGTTATCCTTCCCTCCCCGCTAGTTTTTCTTTCTCCATGGTGGAATCCTACTAAAACCTTCCATGCCTCCACCAGATTTCTGTTTGTCACCCTGAATGGCTTTTCCAATGACTCTGTGACTCAAACTGACATAGGAAGGAATAAGAGAGAGGGACAGGGGCTGGATTCCAGCTCTGGTGACCCAACCCTTGATGGCTGTGTGTAACTGGAGTTCAGGGAGGCAATGCTTGGGGTTATACTGCAGGGTCGACACTGCAGGGAGCAGTGATGGGAGCACTGATACTGAGCTGCCTTCTGCAGTGAGGGAAATCAGGATGACAGGAGTGGAAAGTAGTTGTGTAGGAGGCTAGGAACAATGCTGGAGCAAGGAAGGGGCCAGGGGCTGGGTGACTGAAACAAGTCAGAAGCTGCTAGGGGGTCCAGCCTGCTCACTGTTACTATTTTCTCTCTCTCTTACAATCCCCTCCCATCCTTGATGCTCACTAGAGCCACTCCTCTGGCTATCAGTGAAATCATTTCATTTTTCTGAAACATACTCTATTTATCTTTCTCTTCATAATTCAAGAAGTTTATAAAAGACAGTTGTCACTGTCAATAATATGACAAGAAGTCCTACAAAGTCCAGGAAAGTGTGTCTGACCCTGTGGCCTTATCTCAAATGAAGCTTTGATGAACTCCGTGCCCACATCCTGCTCTTAGAAGTAAACCTTTTGTGTCATATAAACACATCCAGAGAACAATTCTCCCACTTCTCTTTTTATTACGTTCTGTTAAGTCCAATTTGTTTGTCCTACACAATTGCTACAGTCCCTTCTGTGCTTTACAAACTAGTGACGTCAAATATGTAGAATAATTCAACTGAAGTTGCCAAATAGTACTATTTATGTAGAGGATATTTACCAGACATCACTAGAACTCTATTAATTTTTGGTGTTCTAAAAAACAATTTTGGCAGTTCTGTTGCATAAGATTTAAGTCACTGCATTAAATACAAATACCTCAATCTTAATATACCATCATTTTGCTATTAAATACAGAACATTCAACAAACAGAAATGTAGAGCCTAAAACCCATCTTTAAAACATAATTAGTTCTATGGTTTATAATGTCTGGTTTACAATAAACAAGTTCTGAGCTGCATTGTTTTGTCTGCATAAACAAACTCCTGCTTCCACGGATGATTTAAATTTCAATTGAGACACCATTTGTTCTGATTAGTAATCTGCAGGTTGCTAGTGACTCAAGCCTTTGGCCACTGCTTGAAATACAGTTCAAGAAAAAGAAAATACTTTCTGTTGAGCTGACTTAGTTTACTTGCAGAAAACAGACCATTATTTTATGTTATGGTATCTGATAGAACTGTCTGTAGTAGTGCTGGGATACCAAAAAATAAACAAAACAACACAAGTAAGGGATATGCTACTTAGACTCTTATAGTTGCCTTCAGAGTAAAGCTACCGTGTTCTGGCTTCCACACAGAAAGACTGTACCTTATAGCACTCCACAGACTGCTTCAAAGAAAATATTAAGAGGTGTAAAAACTACATTTTCTGTATGTACCGATTCTATGGAAAAAGCAAGAGAGAAGTACAACTGTTGTACAATCTATCAGTCATTTTACAAAATTCTTTCAAATTTCAGACTTCACTGTTTTCCTTGTTCTAAGAGTAAAGGAACAATTCTCTTAATACCATTCCAGCTAGTGCTTCTTCACCAATACAAAATCTCTATTTCCATTAACAGGACAATTGTATTTTCAGGGCACGACAATTCTTCCCTCCGGTTCCTTGTAAGAGTAGAGTTTGATACATCTTCTTCTCTGCTTTGCTGTGTACACAAACCCTTATTAATGAAAAAAGTATGCATAGCCTGAGGAAAAATTCAATTCCTCTGTCTGAACCTCGTATTGACAAAATGATAGGGAAACTGGAACATCTGGCTGCTAATAACATCTCATTCCCACTGACATTTTAATTTTTTCCAAAGCATCTTTAGACTGTGTTGTGGCACACGTTACTACATCTGCTAATATTTTTTTTGCTCTTTCTGATAGTCATTAATGCCTATAATCTGATAAGCACAGCATAAGATTGATGAGCATCCTCTAGGATTGCTTGATGCTCCTCTACGATTTTTTTTCTTAAACATGCCTGAAAACTGTTAGGCAGCTAACTCTTCATACAAGTATGTCTAAGCAGGGATACATTTTTTTAAGCTAGGGCTTGAACAATCAAAAAGTGACACAGGCCAAATACTAGCAATAGCCCAAAAGCAACCAATCTCATCAGTATTTTTCATGTAGTTAAGAAAGTACTGCTTAGTCATCTCAATAAGTGGAAGAAATAGAAGACTCGATAAAAAGTGGCTAGTATATATAATAACTATAGAAGACCTAAAAGATTCCATCTGGAAAAAGGAAAAATTTCAAAGAACGGGCAAACACCACCGATGTGCCCTCAAATCATATATATATTACAAATAAGAAAGCACACAGACCTCATGGTCATGGTACATGTTACTAACCAGTCACATAGAAAAACACTGAATTGAATTAAAAAATCTGAATTTAATTCAGATTCAACACACTTGGTCTTGGAGAAGTACTAAACACTATTTAAAAGGGTCATTTATTAATAAATCAAGGTGGAATGTGTAAACTTCTAAGTAAAGCCTACATCTTTACTCAGAGACAAGTGTCTAGTGCAGAGACTAAAAGTGAAGGCAAATAGAAGGAAAGTTTCAGGTGCATTTTTCCTCCTTCTATGGCAATATTAATGTATGCAATGCTTCCAAGCCGTGTATTTTCCTGAGAAACTATAATAATTAAGTTATATTAAATTATATAGCAATTATGTAGTTACTACTCTTTTTTACTTATTTATGGAGAAATTATGTTTTATTTACAAGATCTGTGACCATGACCTTTTTAATGCTTGCAGGATGTTCCATGGCTATTTAAGAAAAATGGTACATACATAATAGAAATTATGATGGTATTGTTATAAATTACTGTGCAAATTATTATGCTATTAGAGATAATCTAGGGTCAACCAATAGACAGGCACGCCCATATCTGGTCTTAGAAGTTCAGGTGAATAATAAGCAATAATGAGCAGTAAAATGCTAAACTCCATTGTCATGACAATATTGCTCGTAAAAAAGAGTGGGCAAAAAACTTCAACAGAACAACTTACAAAAAGTTAAGTAAAATGCCCAGTTCCTATTATGTAAAAATATACAGGCAGAGGTAACTCCAATAAAGTATTGTTCACATTTTTATTGGAGGAACTGACTGCTCTTAAAAGGGTTCTTTAACATATTGCTTTGGGGAATTAAGACAAAGTTAGTGATGAATACAACTTCCTATTAAGCAATTTTCTTTCTCAGTTGTGCACAGCCACTTATGAGCCAGAACATAACAGCTCAATCAAACCTTATTATATCAGCTACACTTCAACCCCTCTGAAATGTACTGAGAAAACTCTGATATTACTACAAAACTTAGTGGGGGAAAAAAAGACAACCCAGAAAGAAGAAAATGGATATCACAGGTACCTTTCTACATTCTCTTAATTTCTTCTGCCATATAGAGTGAGCAATAGGAATGTGCTTGCTGTCAGTTACATAGCAGCTGGCTGCAATGATGTGGTGGAGTGTGGTCTTCTGGCTCATAGCTTGAAGAACTCGCTCAACATGACGGAGGGAAACTACGGCCTCAGTCCATATGCCGCCGCTAACAAGCTGCATTGTACAAGGTACTAGAGCAATCTGTCCAGCACAGTAGAGAACATCTCCAACCTAGAAGAAAATAAAAATAAGTAAATAAGATTCTGGGAGTGTACAGAATGCAAGGGAAGCACTTTTCTCTTTTCGAGGTAGTTTCTTTCAACAGTACTGTTCTTTGCCATTACTTGTCATAAATGGAGCAAACATGTCAGTCTAAAGATATTTTTTTGATAGGGATTTTACTACAATATAGAAACACAGCACTGCAATAAACTTTAACTTAACAGTTAATACATGGATATGTGTCAGTTCAAAACAATCATATCTGATGTTACTGACTTTTACAGCCACTGGATCACACAGATGCCCCAACATGGTTAAATATGTTCTTACTTTCTTTTTTTGAGTGATGATGCACAGTATCTTTGGTTCAGTGTTGTTTTGGTTTTTTTTTAACTTCTAAGTCTTAAGTTAGGCTTTCTTTTATGTAGGTATATATAAGAAAGTATAAGCATACATTTGTAATGTTTTTAGCAAACTAATTAAAAAATACTATAAAAATAATACTGCTGAACAGCTAAAAGACTGTACGAAAAAACGTCATGATAATCCCCTAGAAGGTAAAAGGAAATTGCAGACTGAAAACAACACACAGAAGAATGTCACTTGACCAAAGACATGGGTTCACCTTTTGAAAATAGGCTTAATGGGCGGCCAGATACATCAATACATACAGATACCATTAATACATGTTTTAAAGTGAGCTGCAATGCAGTTATTTTGGGTTGATTTTCCAAAGTCTTCCTGACAACACTCTCAAGACCTACTTTTTTAACAGCAGCCAGCAAAAGAAACATTTATTCTTACTATTCAGACACCTCAAAGATTTATTATCAAATCTTAACGTAAACATCAGAACTTTTCATCCTCTTATGCTGCACTTCTCAAGAAAGTCTGTAGATTCCCTGATCAGTGAAGAAGTAAATTTTATTCAATATCAAAAGAAAACTAAGCATAGAAGTGGGAAGTAAGGTGGGCATAGGCAGCTTTGATGTCAGCACAAGAAGCATTTTGCTAGAAGTAGAGAGGGAAAAGGGAATCTTTAGGAAGAATTTTGCAGAACTTACTGATAAACTGTAAAAATTCCTCAGAATTAAGAATAATTAAAAAAAAAAATCTGTGTCCTAGAAGACATGGCAATCAAACCATGTGACAGACCCATATGAAACTCCAAATCTGTCCTCATAACTGTCTGTGTCTCACAAAACACTCACACATGTAACTATTGGAAGAGTATCTTACACAATTTGGCATACAAGTTCTATGATTAGCAGCTGAAGAGGGGGAGGAGGCAGAGAGGAAACATATCAACTGACACCCATCAACTATTTAAATTGTTTAAAATATCTGAAATATTGTTTTCATAATGCTATATATAATCTTGAATTTGGGAAAAAATATGCAAGTAATATTTTGGTTTATAGGAACAAATATTCTTTTTTTTCTTTTTCTTTTTTTTTTTTTTTGACAGTGCTATTTTAAAATATGTGCCATTGAACAAGGGAGTCCAGCCAGCTACCAAGTGGCACACTGACAAGATGAGAATCAAATTCAGGAAGATATGATTCAGAGGGGCACAGGTCTGTTTTTAAAGCAAGCCATTCATTTTTACCTCTGTAAAGTGAAATCCACGCATTAGTCAAAAACTCAAATACAGGTAGTTTATACTTCTACAGGAAAAAAAAAAAAAAATCATACTGGCAGTATTTCTTCCTTTTTTTCCTGCTGGGCTGCTGGCTTTCCATGCATCACCCATGTTAATTATTAGGTAGACAGAAGAGCTGTTCAACCAGTTCACTTCCCCTATTCTTGAACAGATTGTTTGAGACATAATATGAATACTAATTAATGATAAAATATCTGTCAGTGTTGTGAAATACGGACCAAGATAGCACTTTCTTAAAGTATCCTGGATAGTTCTGATACAATTAGCCCCACTGGTCATAAGCAAGGTCAAAAAAAATCTCTGAAGGATTTGAGCAAAATTGGCACCACTTTTGGCTCAGATTCAGTGGTAATTTTGCAGAGGTCTTTAAAAAAAACCTAAAAATCCCTTTGTTCCCAACATACTTGTTTGTATCTTAAGATGTAATTAATAGAAAAACTGTTCCTAACATGCCACTATGTTATGGAAGGGTGGATGCAAAGGGTAAAGAGGGGAGAAGAGTCAAAACATTGTCACAGGTTTGCAGCAGCTGTATTTCAGGGGGACATAATTTAGGATAAGGGAAGGAGGAGGCACATTCCTCTTCTTCCCAGTGACTTGGTCATGAAAAGCAAGCGTAAACAAACAATCAGCAGGGGCAAAGCAGCAAACCAGTACAAGCACTGTTTTAGCAGATTCCAAGTGGTTGCCTCTAGAATGTTTGAATCACTATACAGAAAATTGCTACCAGAGTAAAAAGCATTTTAAATGGGGAAAACTTCATAATATCTTGTTCACAGTACTGAAATCTTACAATGGGAGATGTATGGTGTCAGTCCTTGTGTTGTGAAGTGTTCTGCAAAACCCTGCAAGAACCTTGCAACAATTTATCTTTTTGGAGCCTCCACAAGGATAGCAGAAGATCTTTTAGGCTATAGATTCACAGTGTATCAAGTCTAGAGGACTCGCATATCCAGTAATCTCGGCATAAAAACAAAACTACAATATAATTGATATGTATTTATACACTAGATGTCTCAGCTTACACAGATGATTTAATTTTCACTGCAGCCCATACACGTATTTCCAGTTCTAAAATTCCACTAGAGATTTGACAAACCAAAAATAAAAAAAATTGCATTGCTGGGATGCTCTCTTGTACCAATTTATTTCCAATACAGCTCCACAGCAGTAAGCAGTTCAAAAATGGGGCCTCCTGTGATTCCACATTTTTTCCCTTTTTATTTTTATTTGTATCACTGCAAGTTAAACAAAAAGTGAGTCTTAATAAGCCAATATGATAGTTTAGCAGCTGATTTGCTCACTTAGCACAACCGCAAATAATTAACAATAAATAAATAATCAGCACCTCAGAGTACGCAATCCATGCTCTAACAGAAAGGAATGCTATAAAAGCTCTTATTCGAGAATTTCTACTTTTCATAGTGTAGCTCTGCTGCAGGAATCAGGTATAATATAGAGCTAGATCACAGCTAACACAGAGAGAAGGCAGTATAGTTCCAAATTATTACTTTATTTCACCATTTTTTTTTAAGCTGCACTCACTTTTTAGGAAGGCAGAAGGAAAGCATCTATGTACCACAGAAAGGAAATGTCAGAAGAACACTTGGTGCCACTTTGAACTGTTCTATCCCATGAAAGAGTTTTTAACAGTATTATAAGTTACTGAAAGGACACAACTTATCTCCCACAAAATATAATTCGGAGAAGAAACAATGAGAAAACCAGACTTAATTGGACATAAGGACTAACTTAAGCTGCTAATTAGCAAGAGAAAGCTATAATGATTGCTACTTTGAAAGAAACAGAAGTAATAAGATACCTATAGATATGTACCAATTTTTTTTTTTTTTTTAATTAAAGTCCAACAGCAACTACGGAAATTTTATGGAGTCAATATGCAATCAGCCAAATCTTTGTTACAAATGCAGTTTGGTGTCTGAGTGACTGCTGCCCTTTAACAGGTCAGGGTGCACAAAAGATCCAGTGACCCCCTGACCTAACAGTGAAATAACCCACCATTATGTTCAGTCAATGTAAATAAGCATAACTGACAACGCGCTAATAGGCTGCCTCTGGTCAGCCCTGTGTACCTCTGACCTTAATGAAGACCTAAATCAATTAATACTCCAGGCAATAAAGACCTCTGGCTGATTAAGTTAGATAGAAATCATCTTTTCTAACGGGATTAAAGCTGTAAGGTGGTGAACTTTTTATTTAATATATGATAATCCTTTCTTCCTAGGGCCCTCTTATTTTAGCTAATGACGGTAAAATTGCTTTTGCAATGTGAAATCTTTTATTCAACTACCTAGTGTGAATAAAGTTTTAAAGGTACCGTTTAGGCAACAGTAATTGAAAAGCTTTGAGTTCACACCATGAACACAAATTGTATCTAACTTGTGGTTCTAATACACCACAACCTGCGATATCACTCACATTTTTCTTGAACTGTTACAAATCTGTAGTCTGAAAATTCCATAAATAAATTGATTACACATAGTTTGACACAGGTGTTCTTTTGAGAAAATGTGTACAGTTATCAGCAGCTAAAAGATGAAGAATATATTCCTAAATGAAAAATTTAAAAAAGTTATTATCATCCTTGACTAAAAAAATTGACACTTTTAAGAATCCACGTATAACTTAGTAAAATGCTTGCATACAATACTGAAAATGCCAGAACTTCTCTTCAAATAAAATAATATTTTTTCCTAGTTGGGTCATAAAAGTACAATTAATCAATAGTATGTTATTGCTATTTTATTGAAATAGCTGCAACAGTTCCAAATTTTCAGAGATTTGTAACTCAGTTTTCAAATGCAGTTTGTTAAACATCATTTTGGGATGGAGCTTCATAGATTCAAAATTTAATTGATCACCTAAGCTACAAGACTATAAAACACTCATCTTTTGCATTGTTCTTCGCTACTAAAGTTTATTTTATCTAAGTGTGATTTAAATTTCTCTCTTTGAACTTATATATTTGTGGGTTGAAAATTCACAGTACATTCTTTTATCAAGAACTGAAATAATAATACTGCAATTTCATGGATGCTAAACCAGGCTGTATATTTTTTTATCTGCATTTTAGCAAAATTAAGATAACGTTGTCCTGCAGTCATACTTGACACCGAGCACAGTGTCATAATGCTATCAACACACCTAAACTTTTGTATATTTCTAACTGGAAATTATACCAAAGAGAAGAATCACATCATGCAGTATGCGTACACCGAGCAGCACAAAACCGGGCAGTTCCTTAAAAAGGCTACTAACTCAACAATGCATCTGAAAAGACACAATATTAATTGTCATGAATACTATCAAGTCCAAAAAACTACAT